AAATGAAATTTGTAAATATGATGTAGAGTAAATTTAATTTTATAGTTTTCTCATATCCTCATCTTTTACTTGTTATTTTTTTAATATTATTTTTAAAAAAGTATCTTATATCTTATTAAAATTTTTGCTAAGTGTCTAATATCTTATATCTTAAATACAAAATTTTAAAAAGAATCTGTATCGGTAACTGGATTCAATTTTCTGAAATATGCCCAACTCTGCATTTAATAAAATCGCGACATATTAAACAAATCCACTTCCTCAATGTGATATTGAATAGAAAAGCCAGGGTGTAGAATCAGTATAATTCAGTTCCTCTGGTCTCTCTCTCACTCATGATCTTAATTACGGAGGGGGCTTTTTAGGCTAAGTTCTTTCATCCAAACAAATTTACCCTCCTCCTCCTTACACATCCCCCAATATAAATTTTGAAAATGTAAAAAATGTGTTTTATTCAATTAAAAGTAAATTTTAGCGAGTATTTTGAAACCTAGATTTTTCCCTTATTAACTTCCTGATATAATATCAATAGCACTCTAATTCATTTGAAGATTTTGATCATCCCCCTTCTGACTTCTTTTCGTATTTCAATAAATATAAATAAATTTGAAGTTATGGTATAAAAAATTACAAAATATTTTATTGGATGATATACATTTCTATTGTTTCTGAGAAATAAAGAGATAGGGATATTGTTGAAAAATCTAGGTTCAGGTTATGCAGGGGAGGGGAGGGAAGGGGTTGAGACAACTTTTTAACATTTTAAACATGGGTAAAAAGTGAAAAGAAAGCTTTTTTAATTTAAAAATATATTATAAAAATAGCCAAATTAAATTCTTGAGTGAATTTATTTATATTTTATGTGAATTCCAATATATAACTGTAGCATATATATATATATATATAACTTGGACTTCATGTAATCCTTTATTGCAATCAAATAAACCATTTTTGTAAATAATATTAATTATAATTAATACGATAACAAAATTATAATAATACAATCATAAACATCCTCATCCCATTTATCCAGTATTCATTCTCGAACTTTCCTCCATGTCCATAACCATATAATGTGGATTTATGATTCATGTCTGTTTATCCCCGTTTTCGGTAGCTAATCACTACATCTCTCCCACACTTTATTTATTCAATTCAATACATCCTCGTGCAGTCGCAAACCTTGTATGGTCCTAATGGCGTTAAACTTTAACGGTCCTCAAGGGTTCCATTATCGCTTGGACGGCATCGGGGTAACCTTAACCTATTTTGCATCCACCATTTTCACAATCGTACTCACGTGAAAAGTTCACAAGGATTTAAACGTTAAACGGTCCTTATATAATCCCTTATCGCTTGAACTACCATGAAGTCATTGTAACCACCCCCACCAATTTCCACTTGTACTCCTCCTTATTATTATTATTAATTGTGTAGTCATCAACTTGTCCCTATCTATGGGCCTCATTGATGGACTATCTTCTTCTAACTTGTATATTCTGGGCAACTACCGAGTATCTTCGATGGACAATATCGATTTTAATTATCTTCTGAACTTCTATATAGAAGGTGGTAACTATGGTTGCCAATTCATAACCCCACTCATTCTTTATGGTAACTATTGCTGATATTAGTATTGTTAAATGATTGATTTTTTAGAACCAGAACCGGAGTTGAAGCCGTAAAAATCAGCCCAACCCTGAACAAGGGTTGAAAAATCGACTATGACCCACGATCCATTGGGCCTGTTGATCCAACCCTATGGATGGGCTTGTTGGGTAGGCCCTATAGGTTAACTTGCTGGATCGGCTCGTTCAACAAAATATGTAGAAAATTAAACTAGTTCGTTTTAATACGGGTTTTGAGTTTTTAATATTTAAAAAATATTCTCAATCTTTACAAAAAATCGGCAATGCCATTATATTTTATTACATGAGAAATAATAATTTTTTAAACTTTGTTTTAAGTCTAGTTAAAAGTTTTTGATACTATAAAGAAGTTTTAAAACCATTGGGTCTAGTAATAAGTTGGCACTGCCACCAGAAATCATTTTGGGGATTTATCTGCCAAATATCGAGGCTTAGATAATATTATTTTGATAGTAATCGGGCCATTTTAAAAATCCCAAACAGGGCTTTTTAACAATACTAAGCATAATATCAAATATAAAAATTAGTTCATACTTCAATACGATTCACTTATATATTTCATTTGATCAGGTTAATCCCATAACGTCGCCAATCTGTAGCTTATGTATATATAACTTGGACTTCATGTAATTCTTTATTGCAATCAAAGAAACCATTTATACTAATAATATTAATGATGATAACATTATAATAATACAATCATAAACATCCTCATCGCATTTCATAATCTCCAGCAATCATTCTTAAACTTTTCTCCATCTCCAAAACCATATAATCTGGATTAACGATTCATTCTGTCTATCCCCGTGTTCGGTGGTAACTAATCACTACAATATATAATATTAACCCTGTGTTTAATATCGCTCATTTGTTTACCCATTTGACTTATATTCAATTATAAAATCCTATATTCATTTTATTATCGTTTATTCATAATGTTTATTAAAATATATTTTAAAAATGGTATTGATGACATATTATTAAATATTTCATAATGACGGAAGTTTTTATAAAAACAAGTTTCTCAGCAACGTAATAAAGAAGAATATATCTAATCAAATATATTTTATTCCTTTTAATTTTTATAAAACTTCATGAAATTAAGGGCTCATATATAAGCAAAGTTGGTATAGCATATAGATACAAGTATCGAGATACAAAAATGTCCTATCTAGAAAGAATATGTATCTCGATTCGGTATTTGTTATTGGATACCTTTTAAGATACAATTGATATACTTTCTCTTATTACTTTTATATCTTAAAAATAATATTTGAATGCAAAATTCATTTTATCTTATATGAGCAAATAATTCCAATAAATTTATATTGAAAATATTTAGACTAATAAAATAAAAATATTATAATATAAAATATAAAAACTTATTTATAAAAAAAATATATAAATATTTATTAAACATTCTTTTTTAAAGGTATATATAAAATCTTTACTTAGTCATGACGGCCATTAATGATTAAAAACAATACAATTGATGCACAAAATTATTTTAAGCAAATAAATCTATTTCCGTTAACATTTAATGAATAAATTGTAAGTTTAAAATTTTTTTAAAAAATAAATGCTCGTTTTAAATGAAAATTTTCTCAAAAAATGGTGGTATTGACATTTTTTTATTATTTTTTTATATGGTTTTTGAATTGAATGAGGACAAAATATAAATATGTTGTTTACGTATTTGGTGTTTTCATAATAAGAGTTTCTTTCGAGAACAAAGGCGAACCTTGTATATAAGATAAATTGTTTCTGTATCATTTTAAAAATTTTATCTTTATCTTGATCCATTTTTATCCGATGTATCTGTATCTCGTTCCATTTAAAAACATCTTTTAACTACTCTCTATATAATATTAATTATTTTACAACATAAATAATTTTAAAATAAATTATATACAGGGTAAGATATTATAATAAAAACAAAAAGTTAAAAGAATGAAACATTATGTGCCTTTATTTTTACATAATACTTAAAAAATAAATGACGATTCATTAATATATAACAAAACAAACACTACAAAAATACATATGGTAAAATTTTAATGTAATTTTTTTGCATTTACAATTTTTATATTACTTAAATTTTTTTATATAAAATACAGTAATATTTTTTTTCAAATGTTTAATATATGACAAATTTTATATAGTAATACAAATAATACAAATTCATTTACATCAAATCCTGATCCTGTTTATTCTAATTCACAAATGTTTAATATACGACAAATTTTATATACTAACACGAATAATACAAATTCATTTACATCAAATCCTGATCCTATTTATTCTAATTCAATACCTAATATATCTGCTACAAATAATTCTCATTATATCAATTCTCCCTTATTGTATAAAAATATTGAATATAGCCAGAGAAAAAAATATTTTTCTTAGACGAGACAGGCATGAATTTACATGTTGCACCTGTTTACGCCTGGGCACCATACAATGTTATGCCAACTGTTAAAGTCCCACCATCTAATGGTAAAAATTTAAGTATATTATGTACTATGGGAATCGAAGGTGTCATACTTCATCGCATCATCGAGGGAGCTTATAATAGTCTTCTATTTCGATAATATATGATAGAACTAATTAATATCATACCAAGGGATGCAGTTATTGTTATAGACAATGCATTCATCCATAAAAGTCACCTCATTGATAGTTTTAAAGTGCGAGTAGAATTTTGCTCTCCTAATCGCCTCATATAAACAAATATAGGTCAATGAATCCCCGACCAAATACAAGAAACGAAATCGTTCATAATATAACATCAATTCTTAATGAATTTACTATTCCTTATGACTTTTCAAGTTATTATAATAAAATGCATCAATATTTGGAGAATGGTTATCGAGGACAACCATTAAAGGTAAATTTATAAAAATATAATTTATATTTAAATATATTTTAAAGGAATATAGAAAATCGGAATACATAAAGAAAAAACGAAAATTAAAATGCATTTTTTAAATCTGTTTTGTCATACATTATATATTTGACCGTCATTTATTTTTTGAGTATTATATAAAAATAAAAAAACATACGGTTAAATCTTTTTAATTTTTTGCTTTTATTATATTAATTTACCCTGTAAATATTTAAGTATATTCTAAATAACGACCAAATTAAATTAAATGTAATAGGATCCACTTTAATTTTATTCGATATTAAAAAATTTTAATAAGATAAATAATTTTACAAATATTTAAATATAAACACTTGTTCAATTAACGGAATCATTCGGTCGCTTCCGGACTATATATCATAATCCCATAGCATATGTACCATAAAATATCAATAACGTTCAACGTTATACATTCCATTTTCTATGAAATTTATAGTTATCATTCATTCGTGATATTTTTCCATGCCATTTTTAAAAATTTTAGTAAGTATATTATGTTACAAACAATTTATGATATTTTCTATAAATTAGTCACCATTTTTTACATACTTAATTTATTCACTAAATACTTTTTCCAATAATATTGATTCATTGAAACCATTATTTTTATTACATTATATGAGTTGCCAGGCTGACCTGATCTGGTTCTGGCTAACGGCCTGAGTCAAGGCTCATAACATTAATAAAATATAGTCTTGATATATGGCCTAAAAAATATAAGTTATATTTCTTTCCCACCTTTTTTACATGATTGAATATAATAAGTTAAATATTTCATATTCATATAAAAAAATTTTATAATAATAGATAAAGATTATAAAATTTGTTCATGGATATTGAATTTAGTGCAGAATAAAATTTATATTTTGCCATTCATCCTGGTTAATCTATTCAATCATTCATACCATTGCACAATATAATCTGCTTCTGCATGGACCATTTCATTCATTAAATTCACACATTTTGATAAAATTATTTCAAAGAATATTAAACAAATAATCAATAGCTTATTTTACAAATGGTTAACAACTCATTTTAAAATTAAGATACAAAAAATTAACAAAACAGTTATTATTTTTAAATTTTTTTTATAATAAAATAATGTGTATTAAGATTATATTATATTACATGAATATTAATATTTAAATTAATAGAATTTTTTTCTTTCTAACATCTCTAAATATATTATATTTTATTAAATAGGGGATAATAATTATATGGGATTGTAAATAAATACATGTACTTTAGGTACATATATTTTTAATGCATTTTTCATTATATTTTATAGAATATAGAAATAAAAATTATAATACATATTTAATGAATTACCAGACTAGAACTACATAACATAGTTTAGCATCTTTCATGACATATCTAGGATTTTTGTAAGAAGGGGGTGGTGATTGAGTATCTTTTTATCATATTTTTCATTAGAGGGGGTTAGACCATATTGGGTAAATTATCTAAAAAATGATAATTTAATTTTACACTTTTCTCCCATAATTTTTAATAGTCTTACACTAATAAATATAATATTGTTAATGACATATTGTACTCATTTTGGAATGAGAGAGGGAGTGGTTAATGATAGATATTACCTTAAGGTAGTGCCTAACAAATTTGTATTTTGTTTATTTTTCATATGGATAGGTACCAAATTTATTTACAATATATATTTGAAAAATTGTGACTTTTGGAGTGTCTGTGGCCTAGTTGACAAGAGGACTGCTTACCAAACTGATGTTCTAGGTTTGAATCCCAGAAAAAATCATGTTTTTTCTTAATCCAACTTAGTAATTTCATCCTTGAGGGGATGATATATATGGGGTTTGACTCGACCACATGATTCTGTATGTTAAGCAAATTAGGTTGTTATTTAGAAAATTGCTATATGTTGACTTGGTAATATCTTTCATTAACCAGAGGGAATGGGGGTTTAGATTAATAATATTTAGATAATAGAAACTGCAATTGCTAAGGAGGAATTCACCCCCCTTCAGGCTACATCACTGGCATCATTTATATAAAATAAAGTTTTTAATCCAACATTTTCTGATTTTGTTGATAGTTAAATTTCCAAAATATATGAGGGTTGATGATTGCTTTATAAATTATTAATTTTTATCATGAATTTCAAATTTTTTTAAGCCTGAGCCCACCACCGGATACCATATTGTATCTTGGACAAGCCTGTTGTGTTCTTAAAAAAAATGCTTAGATGGATTTATATCTTAAACTTAAAATATTTATGTTTTTCTCTATTTTATGGTATACTGAATTTAAATATTCATCAATGATTTGATTATTTAATGATCTTTATCTGTTTTATTCTATTTATTACAAAATGAATGGTAAATATTTATCACCTCCTGATTATTTTAATTTTTCATATTTTTTTAGAGATCTGCAAAGTTAGGCCCGGCCCGAGTCTGGCCCAACCTGAACGGGCTTTGAACTGGGCTCAGGCCTAATTTTATTTAAAATAATTGGGTTCAAGCCAGGCTGGGCCTAATATTTTTAAAAAAATTTCGGGTTGGTTCGGACCTTGAAAATTTTATTAAATATATCTAAATTTATTAATTTTATATTGAATTTTTTATGTAAAATAAAAATTTTTGATTTAATTTATTGAAACTTAACGCTATATAATATATGTCTTTTATTTTAGGTAATTATAAAAATTAATTTCTATATTTAAATAAATTCGGGCTTGGCCGGGCTGGTAAAATAAATTTCTAGTTTGGGCCGGGCCGGCAAAACTTTTTATAGAATATTTTGGGTCGGGCCGGGCTTGAAAAATTAGGCCCGATGCAGATCACTACTACAAATCACTAAACATTAAACCCCTAAAACCCGGTATTTTTTATTGAACCTAAACCAAACCTAAACTGCTGTAAAATTTCTAACTGAACCTGAACCAAACCAGTGAACCAGTTCGAACCTCATGATTTTATGCTTATAAAATATAAAATAATGTGTAAGTTATTATTAGTACATTGCAAAATTTTTAATTATATTCAAATTGTTTTAAAGATTGATTGATAAGTGTCAGTCATATTTTTTATATTAGTGTATTGCCATTTTACCATATTTAAAAATCAGCTATTAATTCTTGCTTTTTAGGTACATTTTCATTATTAAATTAAGTAGAGCTTTTGATACTATTAATATATATTTATTTAGTAATTTTATATATTTTTACATATTTTTATATAGTTGTTTTAATATTTTAATGTTTTATCATTTTTTAAAAAATTATACCAATAAAAATTTTTGATTAAATAAGTTTAAATATTGTTTAAATTAAATTTATTCATTGATATTTATTTGTTATATTTATAAATTAAATATCTAATATATATAATCTCTATAATCAAAAGATGATTGTTTTCGTATCTTCCTAATCTATTTAAAATTTAAGGAGACTATTATAGTGTAATGTTATTTTTTTGCTCTCTACGAGAGTTGAACCACAAACCTCCCATTTCAAAGGCGTATGTTTTAAGCATGCACCAACTTGAATATAATTAAATTTAAAATATTAATTATATAATTTTTATTTAAACAATATTGATATTGGTATAATTTTTTAAAAAATGATAAAACAAAATATTAAAACAACTATATAAAATTACTAAATAAAAATATATATTAATAGTATCGAAAGATATAAAAAGAGCTTAATTTAATAATGAAAATGTACCAAAAAAGCAAGCATACTAGCTGACGGGGTTGAAGGGTAATTATTTAGTTTGTGTGTATGGTACTAAATATATTTTATTAATAAATTTTTAAAATATTAAAATTTAGGAGAAAAAGAGGTAAAATTGTTGCAATGTGAACATGTATTAGAAATATCAAAATTTAAATTTGTGATGGAAATCATATTGGATAAAATTTAAAATAGAGCTATAAAATTTTGAATTTTAAATATGGGTTATTCATTGGCCTGAAATTTTTTTTTTGCAGACATAGCCAGGCCTGATCAAAAAACCAAGTCCCATGCAACTTTTATAAAATTTTGCCATTTATTTTTATTGTAATTTAATAAAAATGTCTTAAATTTATTTTATATTTAGAATAAAATTTAGATTTGTGGAAATCATATTGGGTAAAATGCTTGAAAATTTTTTAATTTAAAATATGGGCTAGATATTGGAAGTCCCTTATTTAAATTCGTAAGATCACTCACAATTAGGGTTGGCAAAATTTGTGATTTTAAAAATCACGATTAAACCAAATACTAATATTTTTAGAGAAGGTATAGATTTAGATTGAAAAATATCATACATCATAATTTTTTTTACCTTAGTATAAAAATTTAATGCTTCACGAGATCCGGTTAAGAAATTATTGAAAAGCGAATATATTTTGTCAAATGAAAATCCGACTTTCAATCAAAAATTTGACAATATTAGAAAACTGTTTTAAAACAATTTAACTAGTCGATATCAGTGAGTCTTAAAGAAAATTATTCATTTCTAAAACGATGAATATCCCAAATATTACTGTTAAACTTTAAAATTTCATTTTTTTTGATTAATAAAATAATGTTGTTATTATTTTTAATTTTAATTACTGTTATTTCCCAATTGGGTGTCCTAATGCATTAGCAAAATTTAAGATATTCGTTAATACCCTTAATTAAGATAATCTTGATTATTAATTTTGTGGTAATTGTTTAATATGCCCCAAAAATTTAAAACTCTCCCTCTCATTTTTCTAATTAGAGGCTAGTTCTTCAGTTATATTATAATAAATATGGTTAAATAACCTTTTTTCCCAGGATAAATAATTATTTATAAAAATTTTTACACAAATCAATTAAGCTATCTAATTATTTTTAAAATGTTTGGATATCAGATAAAATTTAAAAAAATTAATCATGTCTAAATTAGATTAGTATATTATTTAATTATTATATGGTTGTTTAAAACCTACCATCTTGAAAATCAACATTATAATACCTTCACCATCACATTTCTTTTCCTATCTTCTAAACCCCAAATATATTTCAAATTTAACAAGCAAGGTGGCAATGGAATGTGGCTAATTTTATATCTTCAACCAATCTCTTTCTTATCTATCAATCATGGTAAATTCCAACCTGCATCTGACTCGTTTAATAAAATTATGTTTTCCAATGAAATAATTAAAAAATGAATGATGGTTTGCACTTGGGATCTTTCAATTCATAATAAAACAGTCAATAGCTTCATTATAATATTTTTATCATATAGAGTGTATTCCAAACTTAGGAATCGTTAAGAAAACAAGTTTACATTTAAACAAATAAATTCAAATACCAATGTCGAGTACATGAAAAGTTGCGATGCACAAGGCATAAAAAAGATCTTTTAATTTTAACATCTAGATTTTAGAAGATATTATGATAATTCTCTTTTAAAAATTTGTAAAACAAATAGAATATTATTTTTTAAATTGAATTACACTAGGCCTATTCAAAAAAACGAATATTCGAA